ATTCAGATTACCTGGAAAGGAAGCTGATCTGAATTATGAATTTTCGTTAAAAACAAAAAAACATGCTGTCACATATGTGTAGAAACCCTCTTAAGAAAACCAACTTTTATCTGGCAAATTCCTTAGGTGAGCTACTTAAAGGAATAGGAAAGAGTACCTTTGAGTTAGTAGGAACTTCTGAAATGCACCAGGGTGTTTTACAACTGCTTTCTTGCAAAGGGTACATTCTCCACATGGTTCCAGAGTATTCTCTGCTTAGTGTACCCTTTCTCCCATGTGAGTACAGAGGTAAACCTCAGCCCAGTCCTGGATCTGAAGGGTCACAGATCCCAAATTCCTGAGGTCCACATTAGTGAAGATTGGGTATAAAGGAGACCATGGGGGGAGAAGTGTATGTTGCTACTGCCTGCCAGCGATCAAGTTCATTTTCACTCATAAAAGCAACGGAAGGGCTTCAAAGCAGGAATGAGATCGCAAAAATTTCTAACAGTGAGGTCAGCATAGAGCAAGAGGTGAAAGGAAAAAAAAAAGCCATGGCATTATTTAAAAACAAAAACCCTGTTACTTTCTGGGGGAGTTTTCAATTTTGCTTTTGATCTTTGCATTGTTTTGTTTTATCCTTTGGGGGAAGAATATTATAGAATTGGTGGCTGGTCATTTGGCAAAACCAAGTAAAACCCTGTTGGTCCTCTGTCTCACTTGGGGTACCATGAATCCCCAGTTCTTCCAGAGCTCTCCTGAGCAGGCCTCTCTCTCTCACTCGCTCCCACTGGCCTCCTTGGCAGAGCTCCAGGACCCACTGAGAATGCCTCTGCCTCAGGACCTTGCCCCACACCCAACCCCGTTTCTATACACAGGCCTCTGTTCTCCAGAGTCGCACGGCCTCTCGTCCTTCTGTGCTCTCTCTGTCCTCTTAACAGCTGCAGGTTAGCTTTACAGCACTCCCCTCTCCTTGTGATATTGTGATTTGTTTAACATCTATTTCCCCAAATAGAACAAAAGCTTCCTGGGGGCAGGAGTTTCACTGATTCACTGCCCACTCACCAGGGCTTGCACGCAGAGGACCTCCATAACCATTAGTGAACTGAATGAACGAATGAATGAACGGACCATGTAAATACATACTGAGAACACTTTTAGACACCTGTACTACCCTTCAGATCACACACACACACACACACACACACACACACACACACACACACACTCTGTAGGGACAGTGTCCCAGGAGGAGAGAACCTTAACCTGACCCTGCCCTGCTCAGACCCACCAAGTCAAGAAATGACTCTTTATGTGCCTTCCAGTAACATTAATTGTTGGTCATAAAACTTCAAAGAAACAGATATTTATAGCACGATTAAAGCCCTTTTTTCCACACACACTCACCACAGCACTTTCCAACTCTGTTCCCATGAGCACACTGAAAACAGCATTCTGCCCACTTCCTGCCGAAGCCAGGCCTTAACCGCTTCGGTCCTGAGGCTCTTTTTTCTCCCGTGTTCAGGTCTTTCGGTTTCTCTTGGGTTTTCTCACCTGGGTTTTTCACTCCTTTTCTCAAGCCCCCACAGAGCCGCCCTCACATCCAACACAACCGGGGCCCAGGAACAAACTAGAAGCCCCGAAGGTGGTGGCGATGGCAAAGAAATGAAAATCTTTCCTCCTGGAAATCTTCTCAGGTAAACCAGCCCAGGCTGTGAAGTTCCCAAAGTCAGGGGCGACTAAAAGGGCCCCCCGTTGACCTGGGCCTGAACATTGGAGGAGCTGGGAATAGGCAGTAAGTGCACCGATTCAAAGGAATTCCTGTTTTTCTTTTTAAATAGCGGTGCCTTGAATATGAGTGATAATGATAACTTATTACCCATCATTTGCCTAAAACTTTATAAACATTATTTCTAATCATGACAAAACTCTCATAGGACAGGTGACTGTTGTCTCCGTGTTACACATGAGTCAATAGCCGGAGACAGTGTGAGAGGTCACAGCTGGAAAATGGCCGAGCCGGCCTCTGGATCTGCCGTCCCGGTAAAAGCTGCATTGATGTTCTCCTGTGGGTCTGGGGAGCACGGGGATCGTGTGAATGATAAGAAGAAAGGACACCGAAGGGCCCTAAATCAGGTAAAATGAATTGGTTCCATTCCTGATTACAGCTGCATTCAATGTACATGAGGTTAATCATATGCTCCCTCATTACACAAAACATCAGGACGAAAACCATTCCAGCGTTTATTCCAACAGGAAGCATCCTTTGGAAAAGGAGTGATCGATATGCAGGTTCAGCTTCGAAAGATGGAGGCCAGCTTGCGCCCTGGGTTTCTATGACACTACTGTTGGGTGGGCTGAGTATCAGGAGAACATCTGAGGTGGTCTGAGCAGCCCACAGTCAGCACTAACTGTGGTAATTAATGAGCATCGTGTGGTTCTAAACGTGGACCGCAATATTTGAGAAATGATGTATCCACAGTGAAAGGAGCCCCTCTGTAGATGTTATCATCTGAGAAAAATGGAAACTAAAGTGGTCTCCACAGGATCAAGTCAGAAAACCCCTTTTACTTTCAGAAAGAAACCCCCAAAGAAAGCACTGCACTTCTTTAGGTTGTCATTTTCTCTGGCTGCATGCGTGCACTGGCCCAGACAATGCTGGCTCGTGAGCATGAGGTTAGCCTTTGCATCATTCCCAATGGAAGATGAGGCAGCTCACTGATGCTGTCTGCCTCAGAGCCAGACCCACAGCACTTTGCAAACCTTGTCCTTAACTTATCTAGACCTAAAACTGAGGCTGCTCATGGGGGCAACCCCCGCTGCAGAATGCCCACCACTGTATGGTTTTTCGCAATGCTGTGCTGGCAAAAAACATCCAACGTAATGCAAAGCCCTGCGTCCTTTTTACCTTAAAGTGTCCCATCCACAGGCTATGCTTAGGACTGCAAGTCGGGGCTGCTTGGAAGCCACCACTGGGATTGTGCCCAGCTAGTCCACAGCCTGGCTGGGGACCAACAGTGTGGCCTGGTAAGATGAGTTGACCCCATCAGGGCTTTCTCTTTCAGGAACCTGAAGAAGTCAATAGTACCAGAGGATGCCATACTATACAGAGGAGTCAAAGAAGCCAAGATTGGGATGCATATGTCAAATTTAAGAGCAAGCAGAAGTGGTAAGAGGAAGAAGCTAGAATGGAAGAGAGAAGCCAAAGGGAGCTGGGACACTTTGTGGTGAAGATTTGGACAAAAGACTCATAAATACCTCCTGCTGAGGGTACCTAGGTCTCCTTGGATCCAGAACATCCCACCACTTCCTGTCCTTCCCAAGGCCTGGCTGTTCAGCATCTCTTGGTGCCCATGCATGCTTACAAAGAGATGCATATTATGTGAGGTGACTTGAGTGATTTCCTTCCAACCACAAGAGCAGGGAAATTTCCAAATTCCAGAGAAAGTGCTTGTGTAAATATTTAAGTCTCCCCTGTCAGTGGGGTCACAAACTCAAGGACCAGAGGACCCTGTCATGGGCCAGCAGCCAGCTGCAGATGATTCTTCTCTTCTCCCAACATGAAGTTGAGTCCCCATTACTCAGAACTTCTTTTCCAGCCATGAGTCTTGTTTTGGCTTCTTGCCTCTTAGCCAACTTTTCCCCAAGCTTATTCTTCCATCACAGGGGTAAGAGGAGGAATCGTAAACCAGTTATTCCAGGTCTGGCCCAAAGGGCTCTGAAAATTGAGAGCTGCCTTCTGAATCCCTCCTCACTACTGGGGAACTGTTATTATTAAGTACTGAAATGCAGACTAGGATACATTTTCTAAGTGTAAGCAGTTACTATAAAGATGATATAACCATGTAATCAAACTTTTAAAAAACCAGTTTGACTGTGGAACACAGAGATGTTTGCTGAGAAAAGCTCTCTTTGACATGTGAGTGGCTTTCTTCTCCCCTGTCCAGCTTTTCCTGAGAACATTCCAGATATCTGTCTACATGCTTCATATGCTTCTGGTTGGGAGAAAGAAGCCCTAGCCTGTGTCATTTCTGAAGACTCAGCTGGAAGGACTTGGAATCATGGAATTTCCCCAGGCTGTTCTGTAAAGCTCGTGAATTCACATCTCACCAGGACCTGCTCTCTCCCGCGAATGTGCCACTCTCCTCCCTCCCTACCCCATCCAAGGCCTAGTAGAGGGCCCCGGGGCCATTTGTCAGGATGCCAGCCTGCCCCAGGGATCCACCTTTCCTGTGCTGTATCTCCCACCACCCTCCCTGTCAGACATGGGGCTCCCCAGCACTCTGAAGAGTATGTAGTGAGAGAGATGGCTTCTATTATCTTCACAGAAACTCCTTATCTGCACCCTCATGTCAGGCCCCTACACCCAGAGGAGAGACTAACTCATTTGCTTAGAATGTGGATAGTACTACCAACATATCCTGATTTTGCCACAAGTTTTGATAAGTTCATTTTCTTTCAAGTGAACTTTGGTAAATTTGAGCTCCCTATTCTCAGAACATGTGAAGAGCCAGGCTAGCAGAAGACATTCCTTCCTACTCTAAGTTTGCATATCTTACACAAATTTGACCTTAGAATATTGATCAAATTTAAATAAAAACAACAACCATTTGTAATTAAAAACTAAGACTTGCATTTTTGCTATCTACTCTTGGGAGTTCTGCAAATAAAATTTGAACAGTGGACAGTTGCCTTGCCTTGCCTTCTTGGAGAAGAGCACTAACATTTATTGAGCATCTGCTAGGTGCTGGGAATTTCCACATTCACAAAGGAAAATAAAATGGCCATATGATCATTTTAAAGAATGTTGAGAATGGTCACAATACAGGACGTTAGTTTATTTTCGTTCTCACTGACAATATTTCTGCTGCTACTTCTGAATCTCTTCTCACTACTGGGGAACTGTTATTAAGTACTGAAATGTAGACTATAATACATTTTCTAAGTGTAAGCAATTATTATAAAGATGATATAACCATGTAATCAAAATTATAAAAGAAATCTATTTGGATCCTTTTTACCTTGAGTAGAAGTCTTGAGTAGAATCAATTTACGGGGAGAAAGCTGTATTTCCAATGGAATTTCCTCTGTAGAGAGTTAGATTTCTATGTGGTGAGGCAGAGAAGGAGAAAAACACACAACCTGAGCCTGTGCCCACATCTGCCCAGCGAGCTGGGAAGCTGAGAAGCTCTTTTGCAGAGCTCAGCAATGCAGACCCCCCAATGGGAAGCTCCCAGACCAGCGAAAAGCATCCTTTGTATACCAAACACTAGGGCAGGGCCTCCAGCTCACATCACTTCCTCGGCCACTGTGGTCACCATAATGACCCAGACAGTGGCCTGTGGGTGCTGGTCACTGGGAAAATCTGAGAGACCTGAAGAATGTGGTTTTCAAAGAGCAGAGAACAACATAGCTCCTGAGAGAACTCAGAAAGAGAGGGCACGTCCATGCTTTTGTTCTTAAATGTGTACATCCAGATATATGTATATCGAAAGAATTTATTATATCTGTATATGAGCAAAATAAATAGCTGAATGATTCAATGAAAGCATGTTTGATTTTATATCACTTAATAAGACTCATTTCTTCCTTGTATAAAAGGCATCAAAGCCTAACTCAAGGGGTTTGTGTAAGGATTAAAAGAGATAATATTTACAAATTGCTTAATATAAGCTGGTGGTGCTATTTATTTTTATGAATGATTTATTTTTATTATGTATTTTGGTATTATTTATTTTTACTTCTTTGTGGTAATATTTATTGATTTTTACATATTGTCTATGCTTAGATTTCCCCTCTACGTATACATTTCCTAACACAGGGACTCAGTGTCCATCCCAGGCTCTCCCCTGGGAACAGAACACCAGTGGAAAATATGCCCGACCTCCTTCAAGCTGGCCCGCTGAGCGCCCAGCTCTCCATGGGGCTCCTGCAAGAGCTCCTTCCTGTTTCTCTCTGGCTTCTCAGACACACCCCACCACAGTGTAAATCAAGAAGTTCATGATGGTCTGGTTCTGCCGGTGGCGCCTTCACACTGAAGCGAGCGGTTAACCAATGCGGCCCCCACAGAAACTACAGGGTGGGCTCCTGAAGGGGAGTCAGAAATTCTTTCTATGAAAATGCAAAGCACGACCTCATAAAAGAAACCCACTGCGGGAAGATGAAGAAATGTCAGTTTGCATTAAAACAAAATAGGAGCATGAACATTTTAACCATCTGGCAAAAGACCTTCCCCTACAAATGCACAAAACTTGCCAGGAAGTTTGACAAGAACTCCACACAGCAATCTTTTTGCCCTAGTAAAAACTTTGAGGAAATCCAGGGCCAGGTGTTAGTAACTGGTTTGCTCCAGCAGCCCATCCCTTTTGTGCCATGCAATTGTCTTTGTTTTACTTTCAACCGAACTGTCTTATCATACAGTAGAGCCTGTAATACCATCGGAGGGAGACTGAAATAATAAGCATGCATAAGCTGGTGAATAAAATAATACTGGTATGAAGCTTTTGTGAGAAAGAAAAGCTTTGTGATAGGCAATGTCGGCTAGGTTCTGCTGCAGTAACAAATAATTCCAAGATCTTAGTGACGTAACATAACAAATATTTGCTCCTCACTCCCTCACACATTCAATAGGGAAGCTCTGTTGATGGTGGTCACTCAGGGCCCTAGGAGGAGAATGCCTCCATCAAGACAGTGCCCTAGTGATTACTACAGCATGGGAAGGAGTCAGGATGAATGCACTGGCTGGAAGTGACACAGCTCCCTTTCACTCTCATTTATTTCATTGGCCAAAGCAAATCACAGGACAAGGTCCATTGTCAAGGGAAGCAAGGAAGGGCACCCTTATCCTGTGCCCTCCAATAGGGGAACCTCAATGTTTGAGACTGGCCATAACACACAGGGTTCCTAACTCTTGAGTGCCTAATATGTGCTTCACTCATCTTCTGGTCTAAACCCTTAACAAAGATTAAACAGCCAAGAGCAATAGGCCCTGAATTCTAGTGTTCTGTCTGTGGTAGGAGCTGAAGGAGTCACTCACAGTACAGTCCTCTCTGACACTGATTTCAAAAAATTAAGAGGTGTCTTCTTATATCCCTGGTCTCCCCAAATGAGCCCCCTGTTGAGCTTCTTATGTACATCTGCTATCTACTGTGTGTGCCACGCTAAGCAATTCACTTATCTCTATAAGCCACAATTGCAAGGATAAGGTGTAAAGATGAAAGCTCAATAAATATCAGTCTCCTATTTCCACACCTGCCTTCTCAAAAGTCTGTATCATATGAACAACTCCTCACTTGTCATATTGACTGCAGAGGTGTCCACATGCGCTGGTAGAGCTCTAAAAGACTAACCCGTGGATCTGAAATAGCCTATATTCATGTCAAAATCAGAAGACTGGGGCCTTTCCAATTTGCTACACTTTATGACAAGTTATATGAATCACAGTGACACAAATTTTGAAGATGACAGGCCACAGCTCCTTTGGGCAACTTTTGACATCTCCAAGATCTAGAAAATGCCCCAAAAAGGAGCCATTTCTGAACACTTGCTTCCCCCAGCCCTGTTCAGGGTGGCCGCATGGCCCTCTCCTTTTTGGATTAAATTTTCTTAACAAATCCATGCCATTGATATTACCTGCATTTTACAAATAAGGAGATGGGAGCTTTGGAAGTCAATTGGTGTCTCTGGTAAGAAGCTGAACTCAGTCTGAAACAGAAGTCCATCTGACTCTTGAATCCTGCCTTTTCTCTCCTTGCCTCCCTTTTTCTGAAATGACATGCTTTAATATTGCTTTTGATTGTGCTTAGTATTGTTTCAGATAATTGTCAGAGAACCAGATTGGTCACAACTCCCCCTCCCCCAACACTAAGCTGGTGCTGAGTTAAGATGTTCCAAGACCCGAGGATTCTAGACAATGATGCTATATTTCCACCTGGCATCAAATGGCTTCATTCCAACAGGCCGATTTTGACATAAACCACACTCCTGTGCTCATAAAATTTCTCACGAGTGGTCTTCTGGTTCTGGAGCATGAATCTGATATCAACCACCTCTTTGCAGTTAAGCCAAACCTTGAGGTTTTGTTAAGGTTTCACTCTGAGTGAACTTGCCAATCAGAGTGAAACTAGGGTAGAGAAAGGGGTCCTAAGCCGCAGAAGTGGGAGGAAACAATCTGCTTTGTCACTCAAGCACAGCAGAGCTTCTGTCTTAGGCCAGAGGGAGCCAGAGGAGGAGAGAAGCTAATCAAAGTCCTTACTTAGTCTATACTTAGCATTGTCTAAATTCCTGCAGCTTGGTCTGTGGGCTATTCCTCACTTTAGGAATTGCCAGGAATTTCAAGTCATTGATAGAGCCCCATTCAAATGTAATGTGGTGAGAAAAGCCTTGACCATTGAGAAAATTAAACCTCAGAGAGATGAAGATTCTTCTCCAGGGCTCCACTAATAGCAAAGAGCAGAACTGGGAAAGTCCAGGGTCTGCCCCATTACACCATACCATCATGAAGATGACTGTCAGAAGCAGGAAACTCAATGGTGAAAACCAATTTAGAGTTGGAAGAAGTAGGCTAGTCCTAGTGAGTCCTCCACCGGGCATAAACTCTTATCCCTGCATAGAGGATGGGAACATAAACCCTGGGAACCATACCCCAAAAAATTCTGTAATAGTTGTGCTCAAATCTACGAGCCAGAAACAAAGAAACACCTGTAAGAGTGTATTTGTGTTTGTGTGCATATGTATTTGGAGTTGCAAAAATAATTTTCATCCATATACTGGAAGAGTTCACTTGTAAAATAAGTGATCTTATAGAGAGTTGGTGACTGACCCAACTCACAAAGCCCTCCTTTCTCTTAAAATACAAGCCATGATTGTTCAACAAGACACTGGTCCTGGATACAGATGGTTGGACCAAAGGTTGAAACCAGGTCCAGGTGGAGCCTATGAGATTCTCTCCTAGGAATCTGGAATTGGGATTCAGTGTTGAACAATCTGGTTTTAGGTACAGTTAGGAATCTAATGTTCAATTTCCTCATCTTGTGCTATGTGTAGAGTAGGAAAAGCTGGGAAGTGGAAAAAGAGGAATTAATCAAAACAGATGTGCAGAGAAAAGCAAAAGTGAGAGACAGAGAAAGGGAGTCCTGTTGGATTTCTTATGTTGCCCTACCCCTGGTCTACCCTCTTGAGACTTGGGTATATTATTGCAGGATTCCCTGAGACTCTCCTGCATTCTGATAGGTCATCATACCCTGTGCTTCTGCCCCTCCCCAACTTTTTTCTTAAGTTAGCTCAAAATATTTCTATTAGTTGCAACCAACAGAATCCATGAGGGCAATGGGTTTTCTGTTTTGTGCCCTGATGCCTTCTCAGTGTCTAGAACAGTACCTAGTATACTGAGGAATAAATGCTCAACAAATATCTGTGAAAGAAATTAAATTAGAAACTAACCTAATTAACATCCCTGGGGGGTAGAGGGAACAGCTTGAGCATCTCTTTCAGCTCATTTGCAGCTTGCCAAATTTTCTGTATTCGTGCAATGGGGCAAAGCTATGTCCAAAGAGGCATATGTTGTAATCGTGTTGGTGTCCACCCCCCACACCCTCATTCCAAGGATACATGCTTGCAGAATTTGTTGTGTCTGCAAAATGATGATCTACTTCCCTGTGCAAAGACTGTTTTAGACATAAAGAAATGTGTTGCAATCATGATTACTATCATTAAATGTATGAAATGCCACAAAATAAGGAAGGAAGATGAGTGAAGGATGGTGAAAGAGTAAGTGAACAAGAGGTGAAGGCTGAATGTTTAAGAAAAATTTCAGATGACTTGAGGCAAAAACTGGTTGCAAGAGGTACCAGGTGACAAGAAGAAGTAGGAATATGGGAATAATATGGTTCAAGGATGCAGCAGGGGAAAAGGCAAATAAGCTAGAGGGAGAATAGCTGAATCTAAGAGTCACAGGGATTTGGCACCTGGGATGGAGGGGTAGTGGGTGGTTGGATGGATTCGTGAATAAATAGATAGGTGAATGGATAGAGGGAGGGAGGGAGGGAGGTTGGGAAGGAGGGAGGGAGGGATGGATGGATGAATGGATGATAGATGTATGAATAGG